CTGATAAAGAAGAACAAAGTATTACATAGCAGGCATTCTGGAGCAACCCTAAGAGCATGTGTAGAGAAACACCCTTCACCAAGGTAACAATGGATTACAGCTCCTTTCTAGCACGCTAAAATTCAGGAGTGAGTGAGTTTGATTTAACACTGATTTGAACAGTACATAGTTTATTTACATCTATATATACATAGTAACATGTATTGGGATAAAAGCCTGAAGGTCTTAGACATGTACCACTTTGCAGCAGAGGAAATCCATGAACACGGGTATGGTGCTGACAAGCCCAGAAACATAATCAGGGCAAATCTTGGATTCCAAGCTGTGATCAGTATTCCAACAAGCATAAGGGACTTAACTCTGCATAACTAATTGCTGCACCTTCAGGGCTTGAGTTAGCTATATAAAACATTCACAAGCACAACCTATTATTGAAAAATACAACCTAATATTTATGTGTACATAATTTATGTCAAAATATTTCAAATTTGTGTCTGGCTAAACCTTAATTGTCCCCACAATATCTTTGAAGTTTTTTACACCACTAATTCCTGTGTTACGTGTACTTGGTCATGCTTTCTTAGGCTTGACATCATCAAACTGTGGGTAATTGAAGGTTATGTGCACATGTTCCCATAACATTTTACAGCAATGTGTCATTAACTTCTGTGACAATGGCTGGCAGCAGACAAGACTATGTTTCAACTTGGTTAATTTATGGGACCAGGGTGCAACCTGGTTTGTTTGGTGGAACTTCGTTTTCATGTCAACATGAACCTGGTGCAAATCTAATCAAGTTCCTTAAATCTAGCCCTGACCTTACACGGCTGAGACACCTGAGACAGGATATTCACTCAAAACATTAGAGGTATGGTAATACCGGTACACCATGACTTCAAATTCTAATGAATATATATCACAATACATTTGTAAATTCTGGTATATTGCGTTTTTCAAAATCAGGCATATTTCATTTGGTTGGCAAAGTTTACAAATTGAAGTGACAAAAAGAACTGATATTCAGAAATTAGCAATTCATTCCAGATTGAAAAACAAACTATTTCACCAGCTTCCTATATATAATGTGTCTATTACACATGTGTTGTGACCATAGCAACATCCAATGAAAAGGCAGATGACCAAGAAAGCGTCAAAAATGTGTTTTATTTTTACTTCTTTTCATAACAAATTACAAACAAGAGTCATCAGAAGATGACAAATCCCCCTGGTTCCTACAAATTCAAAAGAACAAATCCTCTTATTGTTACAGCAAGTGCTACAAGAGTGATCTGTCCAACTGGATGAGAGTATTCCTATCTAATCTGTCTGTACATATACAAGAGTAGTTATTGACCTATCAATATACATTTGTAATACCACTAAATTGGGATTCGGAACTTTGTATTTGCAAAGAAATGAATTAGTGAATGTCACACAATTGGTACATGGCTCATACTGTAAGCTGTTGTATCAACAACTGTGGTTATCAATAGTTACTGAAGTTCACCTTTCACATTAGACTTATAAAATCTTGTATATTGCAGCTTAATGGGAATACATACGAGGGGTGTTCATTAAAGATTTCCCCTGACCCACTTCCGATGGACCTAGTGGAATGAAACTTGGCATAGGTATTAGTCTTTCTCCACATAGGAACCACCAAGAGTTACACACTTCTCCCATCTTTTTATGCAACTATGGAGACCTCGCTTGTAAAAGCCCTCATTTTGCGTCTCAAACCAGGACATGACTTCAGAAATCAGTGTTTCATCATCTGCGAAACGTTTTCCCTTCAAAAATGACTCCATGGTTGGAATGAGGTGGAAGTCAGATGGTGCAAGGTCAGGAGAGTAAGGAGGATGTGGAAGGATTTCATAGCCACAGGACCGCGCTTCTGTCTGGGCAACATGAGAGTTGTGTACTGGAGCATTGTCTTGCAGGAGACGGACACCCTTGGTCAGCATGCCACGCCTCTTAAGCTTGATAGCGTCCCGCAATTTCCGCAGCAGTGAAGCATAATAAGCTCCTGTAATTGTGGTACCCTTTACCAAGAAATCCATCATCACTACTCCGTGCTGGTCCCAAAACACCGTGAGCATGACCTTGCCTGCAGAGGGTTGGACACGTGCCTTCTTTGGGGGTGGTGACTCCACATGCTTTCCATTGCATCGACTGAACTTTAGTCTCAGGATCATAGTGATGGACCCATGTTTCATCCTGTGTGATAAGTCTATCAAAAAAGTCTGCCTGGTTTTTTTGGCACATGTCCAAAAGATCCTTTGAGCAATTGACTCGTTCCTGCTTTTGGAAAGGTGTGAGCAACCTGGGAATCCATCGTGCAGACACCTTATGCATGTTCAAATTTTCATGGATGATTTTTTCCACAGACCCTACACTGATCTTGACATCTTGTGCTAACTGGCGAACAGTTATACGTCGGTCTGCCAAAATGGCGGTCTCCACTTGATGGATAGTGTCCTCATCAATGGCTGAATAGGGGCGACCAGGAATGGCAGCTGTTTCCACAGGTTTCCGATGACACTTGAACTGGCGATGCCAGTGTTTAACAATGTCATATGATGGGGCATCTTCCCCATAAGTTGCTTTCATTTCATCGAAAGTTTCTTTTGGTGTGCGACCTTTCAAATATAAAAACCTAATCACTGCTCGGTATTCTACTGGCTCCATTGTCACACCCTACTCGATCATAACACCTGTAAAAGTGGTAAGATTAATAGTTCGGTGCTGCAAATTCAGACATAACCCATAGATACATGTATCATTACACATGTGAAATTTCAACCAAATATGATAACCCTAAGTGGTTTAGGGGAAATTTTAATGAACACCCCTCGTATATAAATGATTACACTAAACATTTGCCTTCTGTTACTTTGGTTACCTTCACTGGTGAATAGCTATCCAAACAATCTTGTGGTCTGACCAGCGTAAAGTCAAACTCTTTGCCGTAGAAAACAAATTAAAATCCCTAAATAGCCAAACCTGGTTTTTGTGTGTGCAAAGTTTCATGAAAGAATACCTATTAGTTTTAGAAATATGGTTTGGACAAACACACTACTATGAACAGAGTCAAAGTCAGATTTGTTGCCATAGAAATGGAAAATATATATGTTCTAAAAATACTTAAAAAGCAAAAGACACGGGTTGATAACCTGGTCTTTCTTTGTGCAGAGTATCATGAAAGAATACCTAGTAGTTTAAGAGATACGATCAGAACAAAAAATGCTAACAAAAAATGCCAGAAAATTTCAAATTGAAAGCATATGTCGTCATTACAAATGAAAAGATGCTGCAGAATATTGTAAATACAGCCTAAATGATACTGTTCACAAATGTCTGAAGGCATTTGAGATGTCCTTGACACATTGCAAGTATAGAGAAAGTGCAAATAATTGTACTGAAACACAATGAAACAACTTTAACTCGAAATCAGAAAAGATGTGTTTTTGTGCTCAAGTCCTCCTCCAAACACATCGAATCAGATTTGAACCTGTACGCTGACATTGTTGTTTGATATCTCATGACTAAATACCCAGAATAACTTAATTTGATTTTTTGGCCAATTTGCCAAATATTACCAAAAATCTAAAATGCATTTTCAAAGTGTGTCAGTATAGCATTAATCATTGATTGTATTGAAATGTATTGTAATATCATGATTATCAAGAATCAAAATAAAATATGCCATGTTCTGACAATATGATTTTTGATGATCTTAATCTTCATCGAAGGTCATATAGAAATTTCTAAAGATGAGACCTCACTCAAGAGATCATGAATATTAAGTTTGTCAAATTCCAATTGTAAATTCTCAAAATATTGTGTTTGGAAGCTTTTGGGGACATACAGTTCACACTTTTTTACTTTGACCTTCAATGACATTCAATCACAGAGGAACATAGGTGAAATACAAATATGAAATCGTCATACCATATTGACAAAACTTTCTGAATGAAACTCCAAGTCATTTCATAAGTAAATGACCTTCAAAGTGACCTTGATATTTGACAAAAAGAATGACATGGATGACAGGTATCCTGTTAGTTATTTCAAGTCTATCATAGCTGATTGAAAAAAGCCTTATTTGTTTTCAATTTCAGCTATGTTTCATAATGTTATTTTCAGTGACTATGACATAAAAATTTAGGTGAACAAGATCTCTGCGTAGAGATCAAGCATACTAAGTTTGGTCAAATTCCAATTATAAATACACAAGTTTTTGAGTACACAAGACTTTTTTTAGAATAGTATCCGAGAGGCCGATGAAATCTTCTGAGACTAACCACAAAGTGTGCATAGTACACCCTTAACAGTTTGTATGTATTAATTACAATACTTTCCATGCTTACAGGCAACATTTGAACCAAAAACACAACCAGGCAGCATATCTCTCAATGTATCAAACTGGCCACCACACTGTTATTAAGTGATCTCCAACTGAAAGTACTCCAACAGCCAGCCATGCAAACTTCATTGGGTGAAGCTGTTTTCTGTGCCAGTGGTAAGAGGTGGGCAGTGGTGATATACTGGGTAGCAGTGTTCACACTGCAATGCATACGTCATGATTCATAGAATATTATTGACATACTATACACAGTGCAGGGAACAAGGTACTTTGAAGAGCTTGGTTAAAGTTACTAAGTACCTGAAACAGGCTGTTACACTTGCCTTACACATGTATAAAGCTCTATCAGCATGTCAGATAATAAACTAAAAATGGGGGTGAAATGGGGTTTAGCATTCCGTGCAAGAATATTGCACTTATATAGCAGCAGCTGCTATAGCATTAGGGCTGGGACGGGTAACTTGGGTGTTGGGTCAGGTGGGTACTGAGTAGGACCTGGGTACCCACAGGACTACCCAGACCCATGGTTAGTCCCGTGATATATTGTTTCATGACAAAAATTATCTAGAATGCCATGGTAACACTACAAGTTGCATTTCTTTCTAACTAGCCCCTTAATGCCAATCACCAGGCA